ATGATTTTATGCCTCTAGAGGGAATTCTCTGTTAGGAGCGTCAGCATAATAGGGCATTTCAGAAGACGGGTCTTATAGCTGGTGGGATTGGAATATAATCACAACAAAATTCAGCCATCCATGTGATATGTTTGTTGTGTTTTCCAACACTACTTGAAATGAGGATGAATGGTAATGTACTTGTTCTGATTTTGCAAAAGATTCTTTATTGCTTTTGAGAAGAAAATAAACATGTTGTTTTCTCCAAGAAACAGTATGGAATTCCCCAAGCTACCTAATGGCTCTGTGCTCCTTCAGCAACCATTTCTGGTAGTTTTTTACACTGCATGCTACGTTACAGAGATATTTGAACAGAAAATCTGTCTGCCTGTGAAACAAGGGGGATCCTTTTCAGTTTGCCAAGCCCGTAAGAGAGGGCTTGATGCACAGGCCCACAAGTAATCCTGTGGGTGAGACTGGAGGGATGGGGCCAGCTCTGCTGGCTGTTTTCCATGAGCCACGTTGTGCAAGGACGGGCTGGGATCAGGATCACAACTTTTTCCTGTGTCTCTAGCAAAATCTGATGTCATGGTAACTACAGTATTACTGTAAAAAAAAAAAAATCAAGAAATATAAATTTGATATTAAGAGATTTTTGATCCATCCCCCTTGGTAACTTTGGAGAAATGAAGGTTTGAAACCCCAGAGTGACTTATCATAGCTGATCTGCCTCATCTTCCCTTCTTTCCACCCCCTCACCTCCTCCCACCTCTCCCTTCCAGCCCAAATTCTCTTTAATAAAAGAAACAGACACTTGCTCATTTTCCATCCCAAACCAGAAGTGACAGGAATAACGTTTCTGAGATGATGATGATGAGTTTCTCTTTCATATCCCAAAAGTGCAGGAGTTCTCACTATCTGGCACAAAGTGAGCTCAGAAACCAAATTATCCTTTTTTTGTTTGTTTGTTTTTATTGGCATTCCTTTTATCATGCCTCCCTCAATCTTTCTTTGTCCAGACTAAATGACTGCTGCTGTGCACACAGGTCCCAATGTTCCACTCCACAGAAATTAAGAATCCTTGCACTAGAGACCCACATATACTACATAGTAGCAAACACCACGGTAGGTAATGTGATTTAGACAAATCCACACTATCAAACCGCAGTGGTTGACAGAGGGTGGGGAAGCACCACCTTCGTCCCTGTGGCAGAGATGTGCAAATGACAAGGAGGACACGCTGGCCCCCAGAAAGCAAAGCACCATCTCACCATGGGGCACATTCCCTCCTTTTACCTGACAGATCACAAATGAGAGAATCACCTTCTGGAGACTGCCCAGCCTCACCACAGGCTTGCAGAGCGATGCCTAAGCTTGCCCCAAGCCTGCCACGGTGCTCAGCCACGTGCCCCTGGGGCTCTGCAGCTCTGACCAGTATTTCCCAAACATTTCGGGTCCTCCTGTTTGCTCTTGCAGCATTTACCCTTGTGCTGCCTCCAGCAGCTCAAGGTACAAAGGGCAGTACCATCTCCTTCCCAGACCATGTAGCTGGTTTGCATTTCATGGCCTCGGCCCCCGCAGCAGGTCCCAGGTGACTGTCGTTGCTGCTGAGATCTCACACAGGCATTATAAAACCAGACAGATTCCTCTGCCTGTGAAACACTCGGGCAGGAGTGTGGTTCTCTGTCTGTCCCTCTGCATCTTCTGCCTAAGGACTTCAGCCCAAGAGAGGTAAGGGCATCTGAAGGGTCAATGCACTTCCCTGTCAGCCTTGTTTCATCACTCATATTTTAATTTTGGGTGGGTCGTTTTCCTTTTAGATTTTGTGATAAAGGGTAGCTGTGATTCACAGCTGGTTTGCTTATCCATCACCATGCATTCCTGCAGCTGTTTCACACCCTCCCTCCTTCCCTCCCTCCATCTCCCTCTGTTGTAGTTTAACCCCACAGATGCTCAGCGAACACCCCCCTTTTTTAATTCCCCCAGTTTTTGTTGCTGAGCATGATGTCAGATGGTACGAAATATGCCTTGGGTCAGTTGGGTGCCGGCTGTGCCCCTTCCCAAGTCGTTGTGCACCCCCAGCCCACTCACTGGTGGGGCAGGGTGAGAAATAGGAAAGACCTTGATGCTGTGTCAACTCTGTTCAGAAGTAAATAAAACATCAGTGTTTTCCCAACACTGGTTTTGTCACAAATCCACTACAGCACAGTATGAGCTACTACGAAGAAAATGAACTCTATCCCAGCCAAAATGAGCGCACCCTCCAAACCCCTCGCCTCACCACCCAGGCAGCTTTTGCCAGCACACCCTTGCCTGCCTGTTCCTCTGTCCGTCTATCCACGTGCATCTCCATCATCTATCCCTATTTCTTCCCCACCACACTGTGTCCTCTCAGTGTTTTCCACAGCCCGGGTGCCCCTTGTTGCAACACAGGCACCCTGCAGAGATGTAACTGCTGGTATTTGGAGGAGGGAGTGGACATTCCTATAGAGAGTAGCATCCAGTGTTACAACAGCATATTCCAGACAGGATTTAAAGCCCTGAAGTCAAGCTTTAAGAACAGTGTTTTCTCATGGAATCTTTCACAAAACACAGATTACGCCCCATCTGCTGATGGGATGATATTTTGCTCCTGCCTCTGCAGTGGCTGGTGCTGAGCACACTTGGAGGTGGTGAACCAGTTCCTCTTGTCCTTACTCGCTGAGTGCCTGACAGATGGTGTGATGAAGCATGACCGAGTAAGGATTACGCTCTGTCTACGGGCTCCGTGCTCATCCTTCTGGGCAGAAGCTGAGCATCCACTGGAGCCAGAGCGCCCACTCCTCCCCCACGGCACAGCACCCAGCTGGGCTGTGGAAATTCATCCTTTCCCTGTGTGCAGAGCCATTGCTGACATGTCTCAGCAAGGACGAAAATAAAAGGAGGATGGGAGGAGCAGGCGAGGAATATTCCTTCCTCAGCCTCACTGCGGAGCAATCAAGGTGAACAGCTTCATGGAGGGGCACTGCGGGGGGGGCAGGACACCCAGCCTCTGGGGCAGCCCCATGGGTGGAGGATGGGACTTTTCCCAGCTTAATGAATATTTACCCAGGACAGAATAGCCGATGGTGCACAGAGTGAACAAAGCAATCTTTTTATTTTTGTGGGACATCCAAAGCACATTTACAGATGAGGATAAGGTACTCGTTCATGTCTGTACACCCAGATTCAAATACTTAAATCTATATTTTCATGTTGAAGGTAATTAGAGCACCCTGGAAAGCTGTCTGATAATTTAACTTACCAAGCTAATTACTGAGCTGGAGAAGTAGGGAGTGGAGGCACAGATGTCTGGAGCTTTGTCTGAGAAGGGGGGCAGTTGGAAATACACTAGTCCCATTTTTCATGGCACTCTAATGAGTTTAGCCACATGCCCCCCAGTTAAACAATGCCATGTTCCCTGTTTACACAGACAGATGGAGCATGAATTCCTTGAGTGTTGAGGGCTGGAAAAGTTGAACTTCTTCCACATCAACCACTGCAGCCCCTGAAAAGAGCAGCAGGCAAGCTAGGAAAATAATTAGCAAAGGTTAGAGGAGCATTTTATAACTTTTTTCTTTTTTTTTACTTACAACCCCAAAAGGTACTATCCCTGTATTCAAAGCTTAAGCCCTTTAAGCACAGCTTTTCTTTTACGATTTGTATTCCACTTAGCACTGTATTTCCCTGAGGTATCTGTGGGCTGTAGATTGAAGCTCTTGGTTGACAGTTCCGTAGAAGAAATGAGAGCTGGGTTTGTGTACACATTGCTTAATTCTACCCATAACTGTTAGCTGTAATAACAACATTCCTGCTAAGAATTATAGTTGCTGTGTATATTACTAACACACGTATCAGCTGAAATACCTGTCGCTTTGAATAGCTTGATGGACTATCAGTAATAACTATAGTAATGGCAAAACCAGTGAGAATAGTAAATAATCTCTGACGTGAAGGGAAATGGTATTTGCCAAATTTAGACTTGCCAGGGTGACCGTGTTCCCTTGGGGGTCAGAGTGGGTGACATAAATTTTGGTAATTGCTGCCATTTCTGTAGCTGCCGGGGACCCCCGTCAGGAAGCACAGTCCCCCCCCTGCCAGGTGCTGCACAGACACAAATCGGGGAGAAAACTGAAGCCTTTTCCCCTTTCATTTCCACTGAAGGTGGCTTAAGCTGTAGCAAAGGACGTTGGTGGAGGATGGGAGGACAAGCAGGACCGTATCTGCTAAGAGCCAAGCCACGGTCCAAACTCAGCAGCTGGGCAAGGGGCAGTGGTTTGCAGAGTTCCAGACAAGGCATCCTGCACAGGGAGAAAGATGAAAATCTGAAAATCCAGGGAGCAAGCTGTGGGAGCTGGCTGGGCAGGCTGGTACCTGCAAGCAAGGACAGACAACAGGCTGGAGGAACTGCCTGGGAGGGGAACCAGGCGTTGTCTGCTGCAGCAGCCCATGGGCAAGGGGAAGGCTGCCCAGAGGAGTGAGGGGGGTGAGAGGGACTCCTGTCCTCCTGCAGCGTCCTTGCGTGGAAGTGCATGGGGTGAGGCTGTGTGCATCAGGGACTGAGAGTAGAGGGGTGGGAAAGGCTGAGGACCAGGGAGAAAGGCTGAAAATCTGATGCAAGGAGCTGGAGAGGGACCCACATGGAAACAGAGACCAGGGCCTGAGTGCCAGGGAAGGATGGAGCTGTTGCTTACAGTGACTGAGAGAAAAGGCTGTAGCAATGTTCTGGGAGGAATGTAGCCCTGGTGCAATAAATTATGTTATTATTGACTTTACAGGTGAAGGAGCCTGGGGAAAATAAAGCAGAAAAAAGGACTGAACGGGCACTACAAAACACTCATCTCTGCTCTGGCACATCTTTGAGAAGAAAAGAAATGAGATCTTCACACAGAGACACCAGACTGTTTGTTTTCATTGCCCTGGAAATCTAATCCTGCATTATCTTTGAATTGTTAATGAAAAAGGGACTTTTAACACAGGCAGCACATCAGCATGGAGCAAGCATGTCCCCAGGGAACAGCAGCCATGCCCTGGCTTTCCTGCTGACGGGCATTCCCAGGATGGCTTGGTTCCATCTTTGGTTTTTCTTCCCTTGCTGTCTGATGTATCTCATCACAATCCTGGGAAATGTCACCATCCTGCTCATCGTGAGAGCGAATCGAAGGCTCCACCAGCCCATGTACTACTTCCTTTCGATGCTGGCCACCACAGACCTGGGCCTGACTCTGTCCACCTTGCCCACGGTGCTGCGCGTCTTTTGGTTTGGTACCGGAGCGATCAGCTTCCCAGCCTGCCTCACCCAGATGTTCTGCATCCATGCCTTCTCCTTCACAGAGTCCTCAGTGCTCCTGGCCATGGCCTTTGATCGCTACGTGGCCATCTGCTGCCCACTGAGATACTCCTCCATCCTCACCAGTGCCAGGATTGCAAAGATTGGCCTGGGGATGGTCTGCCGCTCCCTGACTCTGCTCCCACTCATCTGCCTGCTCACACAGCTCCCATTCTGCAGGTCCCACGTGCTGTCCCACTCCTATTGTCTGCACCAGGACATGATACGGCTGGCGTGCACAGACACCACCCTGAACAGCCTGTATGGCCTAACCCTGGTGCTGTTCGTGATCCTAGACTCCATGCTCATCACCTTGTCCTACATCATGATCATTAAGGCCGTGGTGGGCATCACCTCCAGAGAGGAGCAAACCAAAGCCCTCAGTGCTTGTGTGTCTCACTTCTGCGCTGTCCTCATCTTCTATGTCCCCCTGGTCAGCCTCTCCATTGTACACCGGTACGGGAAGAATGCTCCACCCTTGATCCACACATTCATAGCCAGTGTCTACCTTTTTGTCCCGCCTGTGTTGAATCCCATCATCTACAGCATGAAAAACAAGCCCATTCGCAAAGTCCTCCTCAGGATCCTGTGTCAAAGACCGGCCTGGCCTGGCCGTGGCCAGCAGCCCAGGAGTCATTAGAAGTGGGAAGCATGCCTGCATGAAATGCCCATACAAACTGACAGGTCAAACAGAAGTTGGAGTTTAAGAGAGAGAAAAATTAATGGGAAGAGCACCTTGCAAAGGATGCTCCAACTACCAGCAGAACACTTTGAATGCATCAAAAGCAGGAATCCAGCTAGGAAACAGGTGGACCACTTGGTGACCAAGGGTGAGAAAGTGACTCGGGGTGATAAGGCCATAGCAGAGAAGCTCAGTGAATTCCATGCATTGGATTTCTACACTTCTACACTTTCACACAGTCTTCATAGCAAGTAGAGTAGAGGATCTTGATCAGACTGAAGTAAATATGGAGGAGGGGTTAGAGCAAAGAAACATCAGTTAAATAGCACTAAATCTCAGGACCAGATGTCATTCACCTGAGTCTGGAAGGAGCTCAGGTGTGAAGCTGAAGATGTTGGGCCAGGTGCATCACTATTGCAAAGGGCCATGGTGCTGCAGGGCAGATCATCCCTTCAACTCCAGCTGCAAAAGGGGCTTCATGGGGTTCCTGAGAGCTAGTGACCAGTGGGCTTGATTTCCATCTCTGGTGGGACAGTAAAGGCTGGGATAAAGAGTAAAGTCACTAAACATATGGGCAAACTCATAAGGGCAAATCTCTTGCAGAGTCAGCCAGGCTGTGCAAGGGGAAAACTGGAATTCTGCCGGACTTCTGAGAGAGTAGCTCCAGCCAGAGAGATCCCACAACCATAATACGCATGGATGCCCAAAAGCCTTTGGCTAAATGCTTTTAATGAAATAACTTTGTAGGGGGACTGGAGGAAACCCTCTTCTAGGGGTGGGGAGTTGGTTAAAATACGGATAGGTCGTTTTCAGTCCAGAGGAGAGTCAGCAGTGGCCTCCCAAGGGACCTCTGCTAGGACCCACTTTATTCTACATTGTTCTCAGTGACCAGGACGAGGGAGCGCGCCGTGAACTCTCAAAGCTTGAAGGTGACATTAGGTCAGCCACTGGACTGATAGCAACTGTCTTCTGTGTTTTTATAAGATTGTTAAAACTTTAATTGCAATAACAATAAATTCTTGGCTTCACATACAAAGTGTGCTTCCTTTTGCTGTAACAGGCTTTTGAGTGTACCACAGCTCCACCACACACACACAGAACCACCACGAGACTTGGCAACACCTGAATACGGTAAGATATTGTTTGGATCACAAGTCCCACAGAAGTGGGTCTCAAAGCAAGGAGATTGAAGAAACTCTTGCTGCATGGTGGCAGGCGTACGTAATACATCTGTTGACAGTTCTCCCGGGCTGCCTTGAGAGACAGGGAAAACCCAGGAATGTTTGTCAAACCCAGTGCTCAACCCTGAAACCCTAGGAAGGGCGCTCAGCCTGGCTAAGGCGGCTTCTGTTGTGTAGGTCACACCATCAAAATCTTATCAGGTAACCTGTAAAGCACTGCCAACCATTCAATTCTCAGTCTGACTTGGAAAACATATGGTATTTTTTGTTATTTTTCTGTAATTTCCCTTGGGTATTCATGTGCCCATTTAGGCTTCAGTAAAGGCCAGTGTTCCTTGTTTGTCCTCAGTAATGACAGCTTTATGTAAGGGAAAAAAAAGCAGGATTTATTGTGGCCCTTCTTAGCCCCTCCTGGGACAGTGGATGCTACAGACCTGGAAGGAAGGCACTGGCTGCAACCAGCACTGCTACCGATGATTTTATTTTGCTTTAAGTGCATAGGACTGCTTCGCCTCTCTGCTTTCTAATCTAACTCTTCAAATAAATGGAAATCAAAACAGGGGGAGGTATGGGGAGCAGGCAGAATATTCTGGAGTGAAACCCACCCCAACTATCTGCTTTAGGGTGATCTGAGCCACTCTTCTCCAGGATCTGTCTTGACTAGATCTCCTCCTGGGTGATAGGAGCTTAAACAGCCCGTGCATGTGGAGGCACCTCATTTCAGGCCTGAGTGGTGGGAGCTGGCTCTGCTGCTGCTGCGATACAGGACGGTGGAGCTGCCGTGGCTGAGCTGGACCCACTCACTGACCTGAACCCTTTTTGCACAGAATTCTGCTCCCATTGTGACCTGATGGTAACATGAGCCCGGTGCTGCTGCAGTGATACTGCCCAGGCTCCGTTTCTAGGGGGGGGGGGGGTTTGCTTTGAGCACATGAACCATCCCAGGTGCTGTGATTCTGCAGCACCCAGAGTGGGCTGGTTACGGTCCCTGGGAAGGGAAACGTACAGTGGCTTTCGGCTCCCGCAACACGAATCACAGCTTTTGGATTTGCCTTGTTCCAGCTGGAAATGTCCCCTGGCTGGAGCGAGAGGGCTTTGCCATACGCCCAGGTCCCTAGCCACTTCACAGTCTTAGCAAGTCTGGCTGCAGATGTAAAAAACTTGAATAAACGGCTATTGCACATCTGTAGAGCTATGCTCTAGTGCATGCTGACACACCAGCGGCTAGCTGGCTGAGCATATCTAGGAACTGTTATATTTTCCCTGCAGTGCTGGCCAGGAGGATCAACTCCCTCGTTCTGACAGGAGCTCTGGGTCCAGCCGACCGAGTGCCATGGTGAAGGTGGGAAACTCTTACCTCCACACGTCCATTGCTATGTCCTTCTTGTCTAAATAGAAGGGCCATTACCTTTGGACCCTAAAGCAGTAACAGCTGCAGCATTATTGACCAGGAATGTGTAGAAGACTGTAGATACTGCAACACTCCTTCATACAGCAAAGAAAATGCTGTGGGCTTAGAAACAGGGCATACATCATCAACTGCATAAGAAGAGTTTAAAGGTTCCAGATTCTCAGCAGTCAAATGGATGACAGGACACAGTAGAGAGAATCTAAACTATTTCACACCAGCTGTTCTACCATATGCAAAACTTCTTGGGTCTTCTGTGTCCTACATCAATACCTTCTTGGAGTGAGAAGTTTGTATAGCCCTCTGCGGATCTGTTTAGTTTTTACACTGTAAATAATGGGGTTTAGCACAGGGGCACAAGGAGGTAGATATTGGCCATGAGGACATGAATGAGAGGAGAGGCAGGTTTCCCAAACCTGTACACCATGGACAAGCCAATCATTGGGATATAATAAATCAGAACAGCACAGATATGAGAGACACAGGTGTTCAGAGCCTTGAGACGCTCTTCCTTAGATGTGATACTCAGCACAGTCTTAACAATCATGGCATAGGACAGGGTGATAAACAGCAGGTCTAGCCCAAAGGTGACCACAACGATAAATAAGCCATACATGCTATTCACCTTGATATCTGCACAGGGCAGCTGGAGTAAGTTGGGGTGCAAACAGAAGGCGTGAGCCAGCACGTGGGACCTGCAGAATGACAGCTTCTTCAGAAGTATCGGCAAGGGGAGCAAGAGGCTAACGCTCCTCGCCGTGAGCCCCAGCCCGATGACACCCATCCTGGGGTTGGTCAGGATGGATGTGTACTGCAAGGGGTTGTAGATGGCCACAAAGCGATCAAAGGCCATGGCCCACAGCACCCCAGAGTCCAGGATGGAGAAGCAGTGAATGAAGAACATCTGGGTGAGGCAGGCATCAATCCTGATCTCCCGTGAATCAAAGACCATCACGCTCAGCACTGTGGGGAGCGTAGACACCGACACACCAAGCTCTGCAACAGCCAGCATGCACAGGAGGAGGTACATGGGCTCGTGGAGGCTACGCTCTGCTTTGATGACAAAGAGGATTGCGCTATTTCCCAGGATGGAAATAATATACATGCAGCAGAAAGGGATGGCGATCCACACATTCCCACTTTCTACTCCTGGGATTCCTGTTAGAAGGAAGGTAGAAGGTCTAAGGAAGCTACTGTTGATCATTTTTCTAGTGCAGCATCTTCATCCTGTCGAAGATCAAGAAGCAGATCCCACTCACCCTACAAAAGAATTCACAGAAATCGTAGAAGAGTAATCATGACATAAAGCAAAGATTTCTTCACATCTCTCTTATTGTGGTGGTGGGGATCCAGATTTCTGAGTGTGCTGAAACAGCAAGAGGGCATTTTACCTTTGTGATCAGTTGTTGGCATGGGGAACTACAGCTCCCAAAAGTTTGTGAAGATGAACGGACACAGTACCTAGTTGATGGTTGAATTATGGGCTTCTCTATGCCAGGACACAGAGAGCTGTTTATTAGGTGTGATACCTCACTGACCTGCACCAGAGGGCAAAAAGACTTGAGAGGTGGTGTCCTGGATGAAGGGGGAAAGCAGACTTGGATCTCATAGAGCAAGGCCACCTCTGGACTTGGGAGTTCACTGGTCCTTGCTCCGGCTTTTCCTTACCCTCTAGAAGAGCAAGACCACGCAGACACCCAGGCACTGCCAGGCGACCCCCTCCCCTGGGTCTGTGAGTGCGGCTTCCAGGGATTTATGACTGAGATTCCCATATCCCTTCTGTGCAGGTGTGTCCTGGTTTGGGCTGGAATAGAGTTAATGTTCCTTTTTGGGAACTAGAAGAGTGTTGTGTTTTGGATTTAGCATTGGGTTTGGTATGAGAAGAATGCTGATAGCACACTGATGTTTTCACCTGCTACTGAGATTTCAAGGAGTCTCCAACTCCCCACGTCCTGCCCGTGTGCAAGTGCACAAGAAGCAGGGAAGGAGC